TCCCTCTGCTCTTCATCTACCTCTGCCAGCTGTGTACAGCCTCTGTGCCTCAGGACACAATGCCATTCACACTGGAGATGACCAAGCAAAGTGGCTGTTCCTCCCTCTGCTCTTCATCTACCTCTGCCAGCTGTGTACAGCCTCTGTGCCTCAGGACATGGAGATAACATCAAGTGCAGTGGCAAAAAGGGCTCGCCAGGTACCCCAGATGAGCACGATGAAATTCAACTGCAAACTTCAAGACTCGGAGTAGCAGGTATCGTAGTTGCAGTTCGAGATGTGCTCACAGCAACTGCAAACTTCAAGACTCGGAGTAGCAGGTATCGTAGTTGCAGTTCGAGATGTGCTCACAGCAATTGTGCTCTTGCCTTTGCCCTGGCCATTGCCATTCTCAACTCCATCATTGTAGTAGCAGTGTTTCCTGGAGCAGCAGTTACACTCTAAAATGCCGCATGGTGATACTTTGTTGTACTTGTTTGCAGAATTTCGCGTACAGAATTACACTCAGTATGGAATCTGGAATACAGAATTTCGAGTAAAACATTTTGAGTACAAGATATGGACGATGACCAGCTACCATGAATTCAAGCCGCACTCTTCCTACTGTCTTCCCCCGATTCGGAACAGAACGCTGGTCAGTACAGATGTAGTCGGGGCAACTTTCAGTAGTTGCAGTTCAAGATGTGGTCACACCGTCACAACCGTCACACCGATTGTGACGTTGCCGTTGTCCTAGCCATTGCCATTCTCGAGTTCATCATATATTCATGGCAGCGGTAGCGGCTGCAGTCAGAGTCATCACCATTGTCACCATTATTGTGGTAGCAGTGGTTGCTGGAGTAGAATTCACAATCTCAAAAAAAAAAAAAAAAAAAAAAAAAAAAAACAATCTAAAATGCCGCGTGGTAATACTATCCTGAATGTCATTTGGAGAATTTCGTGCACACAATTACACTCAGTACGGAATCTGGAATACAGAAATTCAAGTAAAAAATTTCGAGTACAAGATATGGACAACGACCAGCTGCCAGGAATTCAAACCGCACTGCTCCTACCGTCTTCCCCCGAATAGAACGCTGGTCATTATAGCTGTATTCGGGCAACTTTCAGTCTAGATACTGTGATAAATGTCGAACGTTTTATTCGGGTGAAGACCGTAGTGGAGTGAAAGGGTGCTCATTAACTAATGAAATGTGTTGATGCCTGCCATCATGACAGGGGATGAAACCAAGGAAAGAAATTTCGTGGAGTTGGTGGGTGCAGTTCTGCATGGGGATCAAGTTGCTGTTCAAGATGCAAGTCATTGTTCGAGTCAACGCCCAACTTCCCCTTCTTCCCCCTTCCTTCCCCCGCCCTACCCCCATCTTGTGCACGTTGTAGCAGTTCTAGGCTCTCACATTCAAACTTGTGATAAGGAGGAGGAATGACTGCTGTGATGTCAAGCTTCTTTGGAAGCCATAGCCTAGCACACGCTGGAAATATCCCATGTCAAGCTTCTTTGGAAGCCATAGCCTAGCATCGAACCCTGAACACAAATCACGGGTTGTACTTACTATACCTTCTCTGGCCCCAAATCAACCCAAAGGGGCCCAACACATTTATAAAGCTTCGCTTGCAAGCCATAGCCGAGCACACGCTGCAAATGTCCCGTGGCATAGAGCATACCATCTCGCCCTGAATACAAAGAAGCATGGGCCGTACTTGCTGTACCTCCTCTGGCCCCAAATCACCCAAAGCGCCCAAACACATTTATAATGACCATTGACCATACTATCTGGATGAAGTGAGACTTTTACATTGTGACAATGATGAATGGACATCGAACATACCGAAGCACGCTGTAGAGGGCATGAGTGATAACTTAAAGTAGGGGTTCTGCTCGACAATCGAATGGTCTGCCCGGTAAACTTTCCTCCCATATTTATCCTCAGCTGCAGGTCGCAGGCTTCACAATTGCCCTCCAGTGATCCTGAGATCCGTCTCCACCCTGCCAACTGATCTATGGACAGGTTCCCTGGCCCGTAATTGACCACAGATGTCAGACTATCTGGCATCAGATTATCATCTCTCTCTCTCTCTCTCTCTCTCTCTCTCTCTCTCTCTCTCTCTCTCTCTCTCTCTCTGTCTATCTATCTATCTATCTATCTATCTATCTATATATATATATATATATATCTTTCTATCTATCTATCTATCTCACAC